AAATACTCACTGATTTTTGTATAATATTCAAATTTCAAGAGAAAGTTTAAATAATAGGTGACATTTGCCAGACACAAGAGAATCTGCTCATCTCCTTTGCAGGCTTTTTGTTAAAGGACAGACTTTGACTGTTTTGCTATATGAATCTCTGATCTATCATGAAGCTGGTGACTTTATTTCTAGTACATGTTTTGGAAGTACATAGTAAGTTTTAGATGATGCAACTAATTTTTGAGAAGGAAGAAATATTTGCCACAATATCTGACTTCTCATGTTTGTTTGAAGCACATAGAATATTTATTGCTAAATAACCCAACAGTTTAGGGCTGTAATGGTTTAGACTATTCAACAATAGAGAATAGACTAAGTACAAGGAAACTAAGTTGGAAGCATGATTAGTACATCCTCTAACCCAGATTAAAAAGCATTTCATAGTCATATACACAATCTTCATTGATTGTCAGGTGTTGGAATTCACTGTGATGCATACACAAGAAGCTAATTTAAAAAACCTTAAGTATACAGTAGAAAGATCAGTAGAGATAAGGGAACAGGGGAAGGGAGAAAAGAAGGGAAAGGGGAAGTACTGTGGAATGAATTACAACAAATTATATTTATTTTCATACTTTTTTTAGTTGTAGATGGACACAATACCTTTATTTTATTTGTTTTTATTTTTATGTGGTGCTGGGGATGGAACCCAGTGCCTCATGCCTGCTTGGCAAGCACTCTATCGCTGAGCCACAACACTGGCCCCTAGAACAAATTATATTTCATGCTTTCATAATTTTGTCAAAATGAATCCTAATGCTATGTATAACTAAAAAGAACCAATAGAAAAGCATTTAATTTCTACTAAGGCCTAGAGTTACAAGAACTGAATTTAAAGACTGAAAGGTTTCATCAAGTACCCACTAGGAGAGATGGAGATAGACCTTTTTTTCTTTTTTAACTTGAGGACTTATCAGGAAATCTATATATCTCTGAAATGATACAGAATCCTATAAACTTAGAATTCTATATCTAGCCAAATTATCAATTAAAAATGAAAGTAAATAAATTTTAAACATGAAAGTTTCTCAAAAACTCACATATATGCCCTTTTCAGGTATCTATATATGAATGGATTTTATGGTAACACAAAAGTAAATAGGGGAAATGAACATGGAATATGGCAGAAAAATGGAAAAGTAGCAACATAGAAGAGAGGCCAGGGGAATCCTAGGCTCAAGGTGAAAGGAGAACCCTTCCCAAATGATAATTGGGTACTTAGACAACAGGTCCAGAATAGTACACCAGAAGTTTCTAGGTAATACTATTTTTAAACCAAGTGATATCAATGAACATATTGAGACTCAGAGAACTGGAAGAGAGGTAGAGATTAAATCAGTGAGTACTGAGCATGTTGAAAACTAATCAACAATTAATCAAAGCTAAACAAAAGGCAATTATTGAATTTAACGAATAAAAACATTGCATAGGAAGTAATATAAATCATATTTTACTTTATGGATCATCTATAAATAATGTTTATATAGTCACAATTATGTAAATATTGAATAGAGATCAAAATTACAAGAAGAGTACATGGTACAAGAGAGAAAGGGAAGTGTGTGTGTAGGGGGAAGTGGTATGAAGTGGTGATAGTGGTGGGGATTGTAATGGAACAGGAAGAGGGGAGACAGCAGAATCCATATTTTTTGTAATGGGAAGTTAATAAATAATGCATACAAATTAACATTTAAGAAATTGCAACTTGGAATTTTATTCTGAGATGTTAGAGATGTGGAAGTAAATACTAAAAGAATTGGCTTAATGACGTGAAAGTGGACTGGGCACAGTGAGCAGAACTGTGACCTCACAGCTAGGGAGGCTGAGGCAGGAGGATTGCAAGTTCAAAGCCAGCCTCAGAAACTTAGTGAGAACCTGTTTGAACTCAGAGACGCTTAACCACTGAGCCACATCCCCAGCTCTTTTTTGTATTTTATTTAGAGATAGGGTCTCACTGAGTTGCTTAGTGCCTCACTTGTGCTGAGGCTGGCTTTGAATTTGTGATCCTCCTGCCTCAGCCTCCTGAGCTGCTTGGATTACAGGCCTGGCAAATGTCCTTGGTTTTAACCAGTGTTGGGATATCCCAGAAGTAGTAGGCTTAGGTCACTGTTTGTTGAATTTAGTAGAATTAAATATAAGTACACTCATGAAGAAATGTAAAATATGAATATACCCATGACAAGCAATAGGAAGAAGTTAGAGCCTTATAGTACACCATGGTCAAAAGTTAACTCAACATGAATATATAAGATTAAACTGTAAAATGTGAAACTCTGAGGAGAAATATTATGCAGCAGTTTGTTAGCTATACCACCAAAAGAATGAGAAACCATAGAAAAATAGGCTTCACAAAATTAAAAACTTTTATTCTCTAAAGGATACTATCAAGAAAATGCCAAGATAACTGAAAGAATGGGAGAAAATACTTGCAAATGTAATATTGAGAATATGTAAAATGAATTCTTATAACTCAATAATAAAATGATAAATCTAATTTTAAAATGGCCAAAGTAGTTCAATAAACATCCTTGGAAGAATATATACAAAGGGTTCTTTAATACATGAAAAGCCATGTTCATGATTAGTCAGTAGGAAAAGATAAATCAATCTTCAGTGAGATACCATTTCACTTCCACTTGGTTAGTTACATTTTGGTGAGGATGTAAAGATATTGGAACTCTACACATATTCCTGTGTGAATGTACTCCAATTCTGGAAAGGCAGTTTTTCAATTCCTCAAAAGGTCAATTCCATGGGATGTGTTTGTGCATCCCTATAATCCCAGTGATTTGGAAGGCTGAGGCAGGAATATCCCAAATTAAAAGATTGCCTCAGTAAGTTAGCCATACCCTGTCTCAAAATAAATAAATGAATTGAAAAGCACTTCGGCTGTGGCTCGATGTTTAGGTTCAATCCATGGCACCAAAAAACAAAACAAAAACAAAAATAAAACAAAACAAAAAGTCAATTCCTCATTCCTAGATATATGCTCCAGGAAACTGAAAACATGAACACAGAAAATTCTGTACATGAATATCCATAGCAGTATCATATAACCAAAAGATAATAAAAAGTGTGTATCAGCTGATGAATTGATAACATACATAGTACATCCATATACTCAAATGTTTTTCCATCATAAAAAAGGATGATATACTGATAATGTGCTACAAGTTGGATGAATCTAGAAAACATGTTAAGCAAAAGAAGCCAGTCATGTAAGGCCATAATGCATGATTCCAGTTACATGAAAAGTCTAGAATACAAAAATCCATGGATTTTAGACTGTGGCTTTTTGAAGGAGGGCTTGGAAAACTAATGGGGAGTGACTGCTAATGTGTATGGGGTTTCTTTTGAGGTAATTGAAATATTTGAGAGTTGGATAGCAGTGATAGTTATACACCTTTGTGAATACACGGAAAAAAATACTGAATTGTATACTTCAAGGACATGAATTTTATGATGTGAGTTATGTCTCATGGTTTTTATTTAAAAATGGAAGTATAGGAGAAATTGGCCCATGAAATTTTATCTATTCCTGGAGAATGTGCTGGCTCCTATGCTTTCCTCAAATAATCATTACTTTAAATTGTTTTAGCAGCTGGAGGAACAGTTTTCCCTATGTTTTGTGTGAAAATCTCTACCTTCTGTGTTTTGATATCTTAGGGCCAGGACAATAGACCTGCCACCACTTTGTTCACAGAACTTCCTGATCACTGATTTATTAGCCCCCCCGAGTTTTATTTCCCCCATGATCATTTGGGCTGTATTTCACTATTGGAAGGAGTCAGATGGATCTGTATATTATGTGACTTTGAATAAGTTATTTCACCTCATTTGAACCTTCATTTCTTTACCATATCTACTTTTTAGTGTTAAGACTGAAAGTGATAATAGATTTCAAATATCCATTACAGTGCCCAGCCTGATGGAGTCCTCAGTTAATGTTGTCTTTCTCCCTACTTTTTTTCTTTCCATTAAAAAATAATGTAGTCAAAAGCATATTCCTTGTAGGAATCTGATCACAGGTCACTGATCACTCTGCTCTTACCTAGCTTCCTGCACAATAAACCATAGGTGAGGTTTTTTTCCCTTCTCACCTCTGCATCTTTACTAGTATTTGGAACATTGTAGGGAGGTGCTCAGGGAGTTTGGATTTCCTATGAATGAAGCAACATAAGCACTTTATGTAGATTTCCTAACCTGGTGCTGAGAAAAATTGCAATGTCAGCAGTTGTCTGTGACAAATGGTCATTTTTAGTGTTATTTGGAGACTGTGTGACTTCGACTTGTGCTGAGCAGCAGAGAACTTAATTAAATATCATTTCTAAGGAGAATGAAGGCCAAGTCCTCCATCACTTGTAAAGCTTTGGAATATTGCTTTGCAGCTAAATCTTCCAGGATTCCCCCTCATCCCATTGCTAACATCAGCTTTTAATATATAACAGTGAAATGCTGAATAATACTGAAGAATTCATTCAAAGAGACAGTCCCGTTCCTATTGTCTTAAAAATGTTTGACATATTATGAGGCTATCTGAATGCATTGTAGATGAACCTTTTCAAGATATATTTAGTTCACTCTTGTGTTCCTTCTTCCTTTTAAAAAATGAATGAGTGATTAATGCATGCATAAAACAATAGAGGGAAGAAAAGGTAACTATCACAGTGGCCCCTTTTAAATGCCATTTTCTGAGCTGCATCTCCCAGAGCCTTCAGCTATGTCAATATGACCTGACCTTTATGGATTTAGAATGGTTTGGGGTTATATTTGAGGAAGTCCAAACTGCTGAGCCTGTTGCAAAAGCAAATTCTCTGCTGGCATTTTTTTTCCTTCCCAGGAGCTAGAGGAATTGACCACATGAAACCCAATACTCTCTTCTTCATTCACATTTCTAAGTCCACAGAACTAAAATGACATTTAATCTGTACCTTCTCTCCCATGTGTAGGAGCGGAAAAAGAAATTTGAAAAGGATGGTGAAAGGTTTTATTCTTTACTGGATCGGCACTTACATCTGTCATCTAAAAAGAAAGAATCTCAATTACAAGAGGTATGTTTCAGAAACCTTGCTCCTAACTTTTATTACTAGCAATGCCTTAGAAACAGTGACAACTTTCTGTTGCAAGGATTTCCCCAAACTCTGTCTCAGCAGGGAACCATGTGAATTAGGAGCTCTTTTAGTTAAAAACTTGGCCTGGGAACTCAGGCCCTCTGATTTCTCGAGCCATCTCTTCCAGCAACTCCCTGTTTGACCTTGGATAAGGTACTTCATTCTTGGCTTCAGTCCTGCTATGTGTAAGAGGAGTGGAACTCAGTGACACCTAGAGTCTCTTCCAATTTCACATTTCTCAGTCTCTGTTTCCAAATTCCACAAGAGGAAAAAACTAAATTAGTGCTGTGTTTGGATGATCAGGAAGAGATCTTCTATATTTTTCCCTGAGATCTTTCATTACCTTTTTGGGTGGGAGGGGAAGGGGAATGCTGCACTGGGACTACTGCGTATATGGGACTTGCAGTGGCTGCTGTTCAAATAAGCCACCATTCAATGGGTACCTATCATATGCCAGTGACTGTGCTGGGTGCAACAAGACTACAGAGACAATAAGCAAGGTTCCTGCCATTTTGTAGTTTACAGTTGGCATTGTAAGACTATACATGTATTCTTGTTAATTGCCATTCTGACTGGAGTGAGATGAAATCTCAGTGTAGTTTTAACTTACATTTCTCAAGATGCTGAACATTTTTCCATATATTTCATGACCAGTCATATTTCTTCTTCTGTGAAGTGCCTGTTCAGTACCTTTGCCCATTTATGAATTGGGTTGTTTTCCTTTTCTGTTAAATTTTTTGAGTTCTTTATAAATCCTGAGGTTTAATGCTCTATCTGAAGTGCAGGTGGCAAAGATTTTCTCTCTCTTCACTTTCCTGATTATTTCCTTTGCCATGAGGAAACTTTTTAGTTTGATTCTATCCCACTGTTGTTTCTTGATTTTACTTCTTGTACTTTAAGAGTCTTATTAAGGAAGTCAGTCCCTAAGCCGACATGATGTAGATTTGGGCCTATTTTTGTCTTCTAGTAGGGATAGGGTCCCTGTTCTAATGCCTAAGTCCTTGATTTACTTGAGTTGAGTTTCATGCAGGGTGTGAGATGGGTTTAATTTAATTTTGCAATGTATAGATTTCCAGTTTTCTCATCACCATTTGTTGAAGAAGATATCTTTTCTCCAGTGTATATTTTTCTTTATAAAATCCTTAGTATCAAATGCTTTATTATAACAAGAAGGAAAAGACTAAGACAAGGTTCTTATAATTCATCTTGTCCAAGGTCATGCAGATTGTGGCAGTCTGGATCTCAACCTTTAATAACCAGTTTATTGGGTATCTATCACATCTGAAGTGATTGAAGGTGGTAAGTCAAGAGCAACTATAATGGATAAAATTAGTATTGAATGGAGAAGGGCTGCTTCTCTTCCATAAACTAGATAAAATATAGAGTCTTCCATCATTTTCCTCGTGTTTACTTTTATTTTCTTCCTTTTCTGACTATTCTGTGTCAGTGTAACTTTGCAGAAAAGAGTTTACATAAAAGGCTTAGAACTGCTGTACTGAGAAAGGCATTTTTATAAGATTAGACTTTTGCTGATATCAGGAAACTTTTGAATGGTAAACAGTTCTCTACATTGATTGAAAAGTTTCCCTACATAGTAAGAATGGCTCACTGCATAAACTGCCTATTTTAATAATGTGGCTTATACTGAACACCTTTTCTTCAGAGAGCCTAGAATTCTAATACCTTTTATATAGAGGGTGCCCATATTACCAGGTCCAAAGAGATTTTTCTGAAAGAGATTATAAAGACTTGGCATCATTTTTTCATTAAAGGTCCAGCAAAATCCACCATTGAAGCCAGCTGGGCCTAGTGTTTCCTGTTTTGGAAGGCTTTTGATTATTGCTTCAATTTAGTAGATATAAGCCTCTTCAGATTTTCTGTTTAATCTTATTTGAGTTTTGGAAGATTGTGTCTTTCATGGTGTTAGTTTATTTCATCTACATTATTAAATTTGTGGGCATAGAATTATTCATAATTTACTTTAATTACTCTTTTAATGTATATGGCATCAGCAGTGATGGTCCCTCATTTCTGATGTTAGTTATTTGTGTCGTCACTCTTTCTGTATTTCTTTCCTTCTTAATTAACCCGATTAGACTCTTATATTCTCTTCTTACTTTGGGTAGAATTTACTATTCTTCTTTTGTTTTCTTAAAATGGAATCATAGATTAATAGTGAATTTTTTTTCTATTCTACTTTGTACATTTAATGCTATAAACATTCTTCTAAGCACTTTTTTTAGCAGCATCCCACAAAGTTGTACTTCAATTTAATTTAAAATATTTTAAATTTTCCTTTAAGATTCTCTGTGACCAAGGTGTTATTTAGAAATATACTGTTTAATCTTCAAATTTGGGGGCCCAGATTTTTAGGTTATTGATTTCTAGAATAACTTAATTATGGTCTGAGAGCATGCTTTGTATGATTTCTATTCTTTTAAATTTGTTCCAGTATATTTTATATATTAGAATTTGGTTTATCTTGATGATTGTTCCATGTGACATTGAGAACGATATATATTCTGCTGTTGTTGGATCAAATATTCTATAGATGTCTGTTATATTAATTTGATTGATGGTCCTTATTGATTTCATGCCTTATGAATGTGTCAACTACCAATAGAAGAGTACTGAAGTCTCCAACTCTGATAGTGCATATGTCTTTTTTTACAGTTTTATCATTTTTTACATTATGTATTCTTAAAATAAGTTTATTTTTATTTATTTTTTATGTGGTGCTGAGGATTGAACTGAGTGCCTCACACATGCTAGGCAAGTGCTCTACCACTGAGCTACAATGCTAGTCCTACCTTGTGTATTTTGATATTCTGTCACTAGGTATTTTAGTCAGCTCTTTTGCTGCTGTGACTAAAGGACCTGACCAGAACAATTTTATGGGAGGAAAGTTTTATTTGTGGGCTTAGTTTCAAAGGTCTTAGTCCATAGAAGGCCAGCCCCATTTCTCCGGGCTCAAGATGATGAAATATTGGCAGAACATCATGGTGGAAGAGTATAGCAGAGGGAAGTAGCTCACATAGTGATCAGAAAATAGAGACTCTACTCACCAGATACCCCAAAGCCCCAATCCCCACCTCCTCCAGCCACACCCTACCACTTCAATTACCACTCAGTTAATCCCTGTCAGGAGATTAATTCACTCATTAGGTTAAGACACTTACAACCTAATCAACTCTCCTCTGAACCTTCTTATATTGTCTCACACATGAGCTTTGGGGGGATACCTCACATCCAAACCATAACACTAAGCATATTTATATTAAGGATTGTAATACCTTCTTAGAAAATTGACCTGTTTTCATCATGTTGTATCCCTCTTTCCTGGATATTTTTATTTGTTCTATACTGTCCTTTTCCTGAAATTAATATAGCTATTCCAGCTTTCTTTTGACTAATGCTAGTATATATTATATATCTATCTCCATACGTTTGCTTTCACTTTGTTTTTACCTTTATATTTAATGTGATATCTTGTAGATAACATTTAGTTGGCTCTTATATGCTTTGCAATGTCTATTTTTCAATTGGTTTATTTAGACCATTGATATGTAAAGTGATCCTTAATATTATTGGAGTAGTATTTACCATGTTCAATATTAATTCTCATTTACTGCCCTTCATTTCAGTTTTGACTTATTTTAATTGAAAATTTTATATGGCTTCATTTTTTTTGTCCTTTCCTGGCACACCAGTCATATATTTTCTTATTTTTTATATTTTTTGTGGCTTAGAGCTTATAATATTTATTATCAATTCATGGCCACTTTCAAATAACTCTGGTGGTTAGTATGGGAACTTTACAGCAGAGTTTTTCCAGTTTTTCCCTGCAGAACCTTATAATATTGCTGTTATTTCTTGCACTAATTAGTAAACTATAGTTGTGAGATATTTTGTGCAGTTCTTATTTTAGACAAATTCTTTATGTGTTAGATCAATTAAGAAAAAGAAATATATAAGTTTCATTTTATCTTCATTTACTACCTCTGTAGTGCCCTTATTTCTTTATTGGACCCCATTTATGATTTATATAATTTACTTCTATCTGTAGAACAACTTGAAACATTTCTTATATGACAAAGTGTACTGGCAACAAATTCCTTCAATTTTTGTTTGAGAAAGTCTCAAAAAAAGCACCCCTGGGTTCAATCCCCAAATCAAAACAAACAAACCCTAATATTTTTACTCTACTCTTTTATTTGCCTGCTTTCTTTTTATCTATCTATCTATCTACCCATCTATTTTTATAGTCCTTGTTTTATTTATTCTTTTTAGTTATACATGACAATAGAATCTATTTTGACATACATCCATGGAGTATAACTTCTCATTCTTGTGGTTATGCTGGTCGTGTATTCATATATAAACATAGGAAATTTAGGTCAAATTCATTCTACTGTCTTTCCCATTCCCACTCCCAACTCTTCCTCCCATTCCCTCCTATCCAATCTGGTGAACCTCCACCTCTCCCTCCCTACCACCTATTATGGGTCATCATCCACACATCAGAGAGAACATTTGGCCTTTGTTTTTTGGGATTGGTATATTTCACTTAACATGATAGTCTTCAATTCTATCCATTTACCAGAAATCTACATGTTTTCTTATAAGAAATCTAATACAATTTTATCCTTGTTCCTTTGTAGGTAAGTTGTTTCATTGTTCCTCTAGCTTTGTGTAAGATTGCTGTCTTTCATTTTTTGAAGTTTGTGTATGTTATGTCTACGTGTAGATTTTTAGATACTTATCCTGATTGGTAGTCTCTGAGATTTCAGGATCTGTGGTAGTATCTCTCTTTCATTTTGGAAAATTATGTTATTATTACTTCAAATATTTCTTCTGTTATTTTTTTGTCTTCTTCTGGTACTTTGAAAAAAAATTTATATATATATATATATATATATATATATCTCCTTTTGTAATTGTCCCATATTCCATATTCTTGGATATTCTACTCCATGTTTTCATGTTTTTCAATTGTTTTGCCTTTTGGTTTTTGAGCTTTATGTTGCTGTATCTTCAAGCTCAATGACAATTTATTTTTCGTGGTTTTGGGAATGGAACCCAGGGCTTCACACATGGTAGACAAGCACTAGACCATTGAACCACACTGTTAGCTCCCAGGTTCCCTGATTTTTTTCCTCAACCTTGGCCTATCCACTAATGGACCCCTGAAAGGTAATTGCATGGAACTTTGATCATAAATGTGCTCTTCATTTGTACTACAGTGTTTTAGATTTCCTCCTTTTCCTTTGAATTCTTTCTTCAATTTTTCATCTGTCTGCTAATATTACTCATCTGTTTGTTGCATTATGTCTTCTTTTTTTCCTTAGGGTCCTTATCATATTAATAAGAGTTATTTTAAATTCTTATGATGATATTCTCATGATCTTAGTAATTCCATAATCTCTTCCTTGCCTGTGTTTCTGATGATTGTTCTTTTTGTTCAGACTGTGCATTTAAAAAAAAGCATTTCAACATATATTATTGACAAGCCAGAGATGATGTTTGGATAAAAGGAACTGAGGTACATTGATTTTTAGTGTGAGGTTTTGCGGTTATCTCGCTTGACATTGGGTTGTGCTTAATTTGCAGTCTCTCTCAGTGTCAGAGGCTAAAGTTTACTCTGGCATCCTTGTTTTATCTTTGGATTTCTTAGAAATCTCTACTTAAATAAGCCTGAGGCTTGGCATATTTTGTTTAGTTGTAATCCCTTAACAGTTGGCTATAGCTTTTGATGTTCTGCTCTGGCATACACTGATTCTCTGTGTTCACCTCTATCCAGTTTTTGAGGGAGGAGTTTTTCTCTGACTTCAGTTCTCTTTTGACTCTAAGAAGAGTTGATTTTCCACTTGTTTAGCTTTTTTCTTGTTGTGAGGATGGGTGTGAAGACTTCTAAGCTTCTTACATGTTGGACTGGAAACTGAAAGTCTTGGGTTAGTTGTTTTTATCCCTTGACTTCATATTCCTTCTTTGTAAAATAAAGGAATAAGATAGTAATTAGTGGTTAAATTTTTTCCTAGCTCTAGAATTCTGTCAAATCTAAATAGTCTGACTTGTAGGAATGACAATGCCTACTTGTGACATGTATTGCCCTTCTTCTACAGGCAGATCTCCAGGTGGATAAAGAGAGACACATTTTCTTTGAGTCCTCCCTCGACTACGTTTATCAAATCCAGGAAGTTCAGGAATCCAAGAAGTTCAATATTGTGGAGCCAGTAAGTTCTGTTTGCTGATGAATATTCTAAAACTGTTTCCCAAATACCGGGTAATTGCATGGAACTTTGATCATAAAATTGGATAGTTTGTTGTTTTGCAGTGCTGGGATTGAACCCAGGGCCTTGCACATGCTAGGTGAGCATTAAGCCACTGAGCTACATCCCCAGCTCTGATTACAAAATTGGAATAAGAAAGAATGTGAAGGGCTATCAGTGTTTGATAATGAATGTCAAAAATATAGTCACACTGGCTTATGTTTTACCTGCTCTCTAACATTCTAATTTTTTTTCTTCTTCCCTCCCTGATTTTCTTTTAAGAGTATTTTATTTCTTCCAATTTTTTTTGTTCTCCCTCTCTCCTTCCTTACCTCTTCCAATTCTTCTGCCACACTTCTTATTTTCTTCCTCTCCTTTCCTTTCCTTCATGCTTTCAAAAAGCTTCTGAAAGTCTCTACCATATACCAGGGCCTATGCTAAGAATTCATGTCTCTTGTACTTTATAACTTCCCATTTTACTATTTTCATGTCTATGGTATATAATTTTTGCATTTCTGTCTCCTAAATTTATTACAAAAGGCAGTGATCTTTGATATGACAAAGATGCTGGATTTTGATGACTATTTTTATTATAAAATAATGTACTTATCATAAAAAGGTAGAAAAAATACATAGGATAAACCAAAGAAATGCAATAAATCCCTTGTGTCATCACTGTTAATATTGTAACAATTTCTTTTATGAATTATCTGTGTTTTTCTTATGTCTCTTCCTCTATGTGTGCTTGTAGGTGTGACTGTGTGTACATGTGTGCACTTGTATATATATTGCACATGAGTGTGTGTGTCTATGTACATGTGTATTGGAACTTGAAATTGTATACATCTGTATATGTATTTTGCAAACAAGTATTTATATATTTACTCAAAAATTAAAAAAAAATTAATTATAGATGGACACAATATTTTTATTTTATTTATTTATTTTTATGTGGTGCTGAGGATCAAACCCAGTGCCTCACACTTGCTAGGCAAGTGCTCTACCACTGAGCCACAACCCCAGCCCTCAACAAATCTTTATTAAGTTTCTGTTATATTTCAGGCTCTGTGCAGAACACTAGTTATACTATACTATAGTATATTATACTATATTAAACAAAAAAGACTCAGTTGTTTTCTTTATGAAGACTACACTCTCATTGGGTAGGCAGAAAGAAAAGAAGGATGTGCATAGTTAAAATAATTGCTAGCTGTGATTAGGGCTATGAAAGAAATCAAAAAAGTCTAAAAAATAAATAACAAAAATTGGCATCTAGTTTAGATGAAGTAGTCATGAAGAATCTCTGAAAATGCCATTTAACATCATGCCTAAAGGAATAAAAAGATGCAGCCATGGTAATAGTGGAAAAAGAACATTCAGACATACATAATGACATGTGAGCAGTCCTAAAGTTGGGGAAGAATGGTGTGCTGAAAGAATAAGAAAAATGATTTGTGTCTTTAGATACTTATGAAAGAAAAGGAAAGTGGTAGGAGATAATATCCGATACAAGGGCATTTTTACTACTACCTATTATACTTTTCCAGCATTAAACACTTATTTAAGGGATATAATTAAAATAATTGTCAAACAAGATGAAAATTATATTTTCTTTTTGTGTATTTGATTTTTTTTTATTGTTGGTCGTTCAAAACATTACACAGTTCTTAATACATCATCTTTCACAGTTTGATTCAAGTGGGTTATGAACTCCCAACTTTACCC